TTTGTAACTGGGGAGGCTGCCTCCAGAGGCTGGGGTAGCCTCTTCCTGAGTGCCTCTCCCCTGTGTCCAGCCCTCAGGGCTTCTTTACCCCAAACTTCACAGGGTGGGTTTCTCTTTTAAGGCAGCCCCAGTTGTGTCTTAGGGGCAATAATAGTGACTTCCAGCTGCCCCAATAGTTATGCCCATGTCCTGCCGATGTTAATATGTAGAGGGGGAACCTCAGCTCCTCAAGCTTCAAACTTTTGTTGAGGCTTCAGCCCTTTTACTCTAGTTGGGCCCCCTAGCCCAAGGTCCACTGTCCCAGACCCTCCAGATCTCACACTCGTGTTCTGCGCCCCCGGCCCCTCTCTCACGTAACAGCCCTTAGGGTTCCCAACCCTGGCACGGCTGCTTGTTCCCTGTTCTGTCCCTTGGGGTTCCTGACCCTTACTAGGGAGCTCTCTACTGTGTGTCTCTCTAGCATGCCTGTGGCCTCCAAACCACCCATGTAGCCACAACCTGGTCATCCAGCCTTAAACAAACATAAACACTAGCATGACAGAAATATAAGGAAACTGCTTCCACAAAGTTTTTCCTTGCCCTGGGTCAATACCCCACCACAAGCTTTGCTTCCTAGTGACAGGTTCATCTCATGAATGAGTAGCTTGGGTGTCCATGGGCCTGCTTCCTGCAGTTAGCTTCCCTGGGCAGCTCCTCTCCTTACAACATGCAGGGTCTGTCTGCCTGCTGTAGCTCAGGCCCTGGGCTTATATGCCTTAATGCCCTGCCCCCTTCCTGTCATGTGGCTCCCCACCACACACAGGAGTTTCCCATTTTAATTAAGGGCCAGCCTATGCTCCTGCTGCTGCAGCCCCACACAGCCAATTTAGTCTGCTGCATTATTTTCAAGTAACAAGAGCCCTCTGCTTTCCTGTTACACCCCAAACACCATTATATAACAAATATTCAATTATTTATTATTTTCTTCATTGTACCGTTCGGAGTCCCCCTACCCTTGGTTTTTCTCTCTTGTTTAAGATGGAAAAATCAAAGGTTAGAAAATAGGACTGTGTTCAGTCTTGCACTAGAGAATATTTTGTATGTAACCCTTCTGCTGAACACCTGACAGTAGCAACACGGACCGGGTTAATTTTGCAGTACTAAATATATTTCACCTTGGCTCGAGCCCCCCCACAAACTACCTGGGAAACACTAAATGAATCACTAGGGTGTCCAATGAAATGACAACCCTTCCCTCACAAGCAGTGTAAACACAAAATCCATTTTTATTACAAGGAATAAAGAAAAAAACAAAGGTAAACACTAAGTTTAAAACACTATAGACTACAAAACAAGGTCTATAGGAGGCACCCTCTTGGGTAAGCCATACCCAGGCAATCTGGGACTTGGTGCTCCCCAATGGGTAGTTCTGGGGGCCCATACCACTATACCTGCCACTTAACAGTGGACTGGAGAGGGAGACCCACGCTGGAGAGTCCTATAAGCTGATCCATGGGTTCACTGCACCACAGGGAGCTGCTAGAGAGTGTAGGTCGTTCTGCATTGCAAGGAACCCCTTGTTGCTTCCTGCGAAGCTGTAGTGCTGACCTCCACTTCCACGTGTTGGCTTTGAGGGGTTAACTGAAGCTTTTGTCAGTATATCTCACCCTTGAGTTTCTAGTCCTAATCCTGGCAAGAAACTGCAAGAGATTGAGAATTTAAAAGAAAAGCCAGCCAAACAGCACGAGAGCCTGAACTGCAACCAGCACTAACCACACTGCTTGGTCAGGACAAAGAGCGAGAAAAGCAATAACATGCACCAGATCCAAAATGTGCCAGGCCCAAACATGCAACAGATGTACAATGGGGCTCAGCAACACAGCTAGGCTGAGGCACAACAGCTGTAAAACAATAAAAGGGGGGACTCAGGCCTGTCCTGCACCAGGGCCTGGACATACAACAAAAGAGTGCCAGGCCTATTTGGCTGCGGCCTGGACATTTGGTCTCAGCTACACTGTTATGCTGAGACTGAACAGCTATGAAACTACAAAAAAGGGGCCAGGCCTATCTTGGCTTGTGTCTGAACTACAATTAGCGCCCAACCACACTGTTTGGTTGGGGCTTAAACTGCAAAACAGACAAAAGGAGGCCCAGCCCTATTTCACTAGGCCTGGACTGGGCAGCAAAAAACTGGCCTGCATAAACAATAAGAAGTGCTAGGTCTCAACCTGGCTCAAATTGCGCCAGCCTTCACCCTCGCCCAAATCTGCCAGCCAAACATGGCTGAAGTTCAGCTGCACAGCTAGGCTGAAACGGAATAGCTGTGAAACAGCAAAAAGGGCCCAGGCCTATGGCTGCAGCCTGGACATCCAGTCTCAGTTATACCACAATGCTGAGACACTACAATTCCCAATATAGGGGGCCAGTAACTGGCAGGACCCTGTTCCTGGTCAGTCTGCACTAGGGATTAATACACGCATGGCACCACCTCACTCAAGGCCTGCGTGGCCGAAGCTGCAAGCAAAACATGCAGCTGGGGTTCAGCAATGCAGCCATGTTGAACCCCAAAGAAGTTGCAATAACAACTAAAACATGGCAGGCTCTCAGCCCTGGCCCAGAGCATGTTAGAGAAACTGTCAGGCTCCAACTTTGGCTAGTTTGCTGCAGGGAGTGATACCCCCATGGCATTATCCCACTCAAAACCCAGCAAAACAAAAGGGGGAAAAAGAGGAAGAAAACAGGGGTCTCAAAGCCTGAGACAGACTTTTTCTCCCTGTATCTGAGGCTTTCCTTTCACATAGGTTCAGTTTGCTTCTCCAGTGAAGGTCAGGGCAAGACCCCTCATTGGGAACTGGTTGCCCTTTGCCCTATCCCTGAGGATCTCCTATTAATCTCCAGGAGTTAGGGATAATTTTTGATACATGAAACATGAGGTTTCAATCCAATTTTAAGTATTAACTGTTGTAACTTAGGCCACTTGGCCTAAGCTTGGGTCCTAGTGGGCTGGTACGACCTTGATGCTCTCGCAGCACAGCACAGGAAAACCATCTGGCACCCACTCACAGGCCACAGCACAGTTCTGTGGGCGCGATCCAGTGGCCCTGCAGGCCAACTCCTGATTTAGGATATTATTGTTGTCCGTTAAGATGTCTAATTTCTTTCTAAGGCTTCTTGGCCTCAATGATCTCTTGTGGCAATGAGTGCCGCAATTTGCTCATGCAGTTTATTCATGTGAGGAAGGGTGATCTCTTGATCATTCTTGAAATTTACTGCTTTATACTCCCTTGCTCTCATGTTATGAAGGACAGTAAAAGTTCCTGATTTGAGGTCTGTATACAATAGAAAACAGGTATGGAAGGGACCTTGAAAGGTCATCTAGCCTATCTTCCTGCCCCATGGTAGGAATACTATAATTGTTTCTGACAGTTATTTTTTTAAATGTAAAATAGGTCAACTGGGTCAGCCAAAGGGTCAGTTTATTTTAGTAGTCCTTTGAAAGTCTAATCATTAACTTTTCAACATGTTACTTTCATGTTGTTAGCATAAACTGCCTGGCCTCGCTGTCATGGAGAACTGAACTCAATTGACCCAGTGGGTACAGTGCATCTCTACTGTCTGGATATGAGTTGTCAATATGACTCTTCTGTAGGACTGCCTACAGATTGGCTTTCCATGTGGGACAGTAGTTGTAGAAGCTTGTCTGTTATTAACTGGCCAATTAAACAAGCATTTGATTATGATGACTCAGTGGGTCTATCAGTATAAATCTGAATAATCTGAAATAGAAGAATATGGTTAATGTATACTCTTTCTCTAATAGTGCCTTTCTCTGTGGGAGAAAGGTATAAATTTCTTAACAGCACTTGATGAGGATGGAACAGGTTTATTCTTAAATGTATGAATGAGGCTCTTACATGAAGGCGTACCTAGTATTGATTGGAAATAGAATGTGCATATAGCTAGTAAAAGCTAGAGATGTTCAGGGATCTGAGTTTCTGTTCCACGGAAACTCACGTTTGCATCTTCATTCAGAATCAAAATTCAGAAAAACAAGTGTGGCAGTGCACTGGGTGTGCCTGGCACTTTAAGGGCCTGGAGCTGGCAGCCTCCAGGTGCCTGATTAGGGCAGCCATTT